TTCCTCCTCCTCCTCCTCCTCCTCCTCGTCTCCCTCCTCCTCCTCCGTCTCCTCCTTCTCCTCCTCCTCCTCCTTCTCCTCCTTCTCCTCCTTCGCCTCGTTCTCCTCCTCTTCCTCCTCATCCTCATCCTCCTCCCTCCCCCTCTCGGTACAGCCGCCGTTTTGGCTCGAGGTGATTGGGTGCGGCTCCCAGGGGCCCGCGCACCTCGCGCGGGACAGCAGGCCATACGCGCAAGCCGCCGCCCCACCTGTTGGGCGCGCGCAGGCTGGCCGTGCAGCCACGCCTCGCGCCCGCCGTGCGGCAAGGAACGCCCCGGCCTAGCACCGCAGGGCCCGCTGGTTGCGCGGCCAGGCCCGTGCTCAGCTTCGAGTTGCAGCCGCGAGGGCGCGGCTCGACAGGACAAGAAAATGCAGTGCGACAAAGGGGCCAGGCCCGCGTTGCTGCTGCGCGCACGCGCCTCGCCGAACGGGTAGCGGCGCCGCCAGCTACGGCCAGCACGGCAAGAGAGGTCAGCCCAGTGGCAAAGGTGGACAGGATTTCTTGCCAGCTCCGCCTCCGCCTCCACCGCATTGCTGGTGGTGCCCACGGTGTTCCAGTCAGACTCTGCAGGTCGTGCTACCCGATGCCGCCCCGGGAGGCGTCACGCTGGGCTGCGACTGCAGGTGGAGACGTGGCCGAGTGCCCGCACTGCGAGCACCGCCCGCCCTCGCGCAGGCCGCGCCGACGGCACGGCAGCCGTGGCAGCCCCACCTGCGGAGAGGACCTTGCTGGCAGGTCACCTGAGGCGCAGTCCCCAAGCGGGGAGCCCGCCGAGGAACCATCGCCCAGCCAGCGGCGCCCCGCACGCCAGCCGCCCCAGGCGCAGGAGGGCCACCCGCTCCCACGACGTGACGTTCGAGGAGACGGAGGACGAGGCAGGCGGGTCCGCGTCCGAGGCCGAAGGTGGGGCTCTAGAGGCGCTCGGCGTGCTGCACGCCCCTCTCGCGGACGCCCAGCAGCACAGCACCTGGATGGAGCCCCCAGCCTCGCCTGAGGCCATGTTGGAGCACCGCCGCAACCTGCGCCGCACGGCGATCGCGGCGGCCAAAAAACTACGGGCCTCGCGCGCCTTAGGGCTGCAGGGGGCTGTCTTGACCAACCAGGAGCGCGAGCGCGTGAGACGTGCACATAGAACGACAAGGCTGTCGTGGAGAGGGCCATCAAGCGCTCCGCCAAGGCCGGCATAAGCTTGCAGGACACGCTTCGGACATACTTGTACCTCCAGCAGGTCAAGCAGCAGCGTGATGATGAGTTGTCCCGTGCGCAGTTGCTGCTTACCCAGCTGGAGGAGATGTTCCCTACGCCAATGGAGGATGAGGAGGAGGAGGAGGAGGAGGAGGAGGAGGAGGAGGAGGAGGAGGAGGAGGAGGAGGAGGATTGCCCTGCGTCGATTGCGGCTGCTGCGCCATCGCCCCGTTCGCCCTCGCTGCCGGCGCCGCCGCAGGCGCAGCCTGGAGCCGTGGCGGCCATTGCGGAGCTCCCACAGGGTCAGGTCACCACGGCGCAGCAGCTGGCCGGCTTGGCGACGGGTCGTGGCGGGCGGCAGACGGCGATCTCGAAGATGCATGGTTTGGCGGCCTCCGCGGCTGCTCCTGCGTCGGCCGCGCCGCGGACGCCTCCTGCCCGGGCCGTCCCAGCCTCGCCCGTGGAGGCGGCTGCGGCGGCCCTTGCTGGCAGACAGAATATGACGATGGCGCAGCAAACAGCGGCCAACACGCCGCCCCAGCAGCAGCAGGCGGCCGAATCCGAAGCTGCCGCGGCGGCCGCGGCCGCTTGCTAGGCCGAGCAGGCTGCCGAGCAGATGAAAAACGGCGACTGGGCCGCCGCGCAGAAGGCCAAGCAGGCGCGCGCTCGGCTTGCCGCCGAGGCCCGAGCGAGTCGAGCCGAGGCGAAGCGAGCGCTGTTGCGCGCCAGGGGCCTGGCCAGTCTGGACAAGACCTGCATCGAGGCAGTGCTGGCAGGCGGGAGTTCCGGCGGCCCTGGCGCGATCTCAGCAGGCGTTGCCAGCGGAGGCGCTGTTCTGGCGTCCCCATACACCAGGGGCGCCTCCGCCCGCGAGCCAGTCTGCTGCAGTCGCCCCTCGCGCGGCGCCATCGGCGAAGAGAAGCCGCGGCCGACTGGCCGCGCTGAGCCTCTCTGCCGCGGCCCAGGCGCGGGCGGCAGGGGCCGCGGCCCGAGGCGAGGCGACGCTGCCCAGATTGCGGCTTGTCGCCCAGATGCTGATGTGGTGGCAGGATCGGATGGGCCCCCATCAGAAGCAGGACCAATTGGCTCGGCACCGGGGCGACCGTGCCGCGGGAGGAGAACGACGCCAAAGTGGGTCAGTTGCTGGGCGCGGCTCTGAGCGCGCCTCCTCCCGACGGGCCTGTCCCGACGATTAATACTCTTACGCCTTGCAGCCCAGTTCCAGACTGCGGCGATTTAGTTGCTCTGCTCTGTTCGCCGCGGGCAGACTGCAAACTTGCGCCTCCCTTCTTCTCCTCGTCCAATCAGGCTGCGCTTGATCAATGTGTCACTCCTTCTCCCCATTCCTGTTCGAAGCGGTTCATCGAACAGTTTTGTGCCTCAGCTGCGGATGCAAATGTGGCGAGGTACGCAGTGCGCACGGACGGCTCAGGTGGTTCCGACAGCGCAACGACTGGCGGGCCACCTGCCTGGGCTTCTGCGTACGCAGTGACCGAGGACGACCGCTATCGTTTCGATGCCTATCTGACAGGCCAGGGGCCCAGGCTTGCGTGGGCACTGTGTCAGTGCATCGGAGCCTGCCGACGTCTCTGCTGCGTTCTGGCTTGTGTGCTGGCTCCTGCAGGCCCCAGAAAGTTTCCGCCCCTGTCTTTTCGCCGCTTACGCACACAACATGATGGTCGCATCAGCTGCTAAGGGAGGTGCACAGTGCATCTTACGGGCAGTTCCCCATCCTCTCGGACAACCTAATCAAACTACTTCGGCAGCGCGCGCAGGTAAAGCGGGGCCGCGCGCCAGGTCATTGCAGTCGCCTGCTAAACGATTTAGCTGATGCACTTGCTAGACTAGCGTCTATGGGGGTGGTTTCGCCAGCTCGTGTGCTCACCTTCCCTGGCCCGGTTCGCTTGTCCAATCAGCTCTTGTGCCGCGTTTGTGGTCTGCCGGCAGGATTAATAATGATTCCCGCGAGCTGCCGAACGCAATGCCTGCCCCGTTGCCCATGCTGCTCCCGCCAGCGGTGTCCCCCGTGGATATTTTCTCGCCGTCTAGTGTTGGACCTACCTCGTAACCTACGCTGGGCCCGACGCCGGATGCCCGCTCGGCGCCCACGTGCAATCCCACGCCACGTGCGATCAGGCTGGCCGTTGCGAATGGCTGGCGCTCGGGCCGCGCAGCAAGCCAGGGCGAGGTGGGAAGGGGCGCAGGTTGGGTCGTGCATGCAAGGATGCTGCAGGCGTAGACGCACCAGGGCGCATGCTTGCCGGCGCGCGCCAGTTAGCTGCGCACAAGTATCTGATGGCAGGTACCCTCGAACCCGTGTCCGACAACGCGCGGCGGGTTGCTTCCAGCTAACATGCGTTTTCGGCTGCAGAGGCACAATTGCTCATATGGTGTAGGTTTCTGGATCAACACGGACATGGCAAGCATGCCCGGCATGCGTCTTGCGCGCAAGAACTTGCGTGCCATATCAAATCATGCACGCCGCATGCTCGTTGCAGCACGTGCGCTTGCTCTGTGCATTGACGTCTCGGTTGCCCATGCGCCGCACCCTCGCGCGGATTGCGCAGCGACCGCCGATTGGTGGAACAGAATTCGGCACATTGTGCTATCGCGACCAAGTGCTGCTCCTTCGCATTGCCTGCTGGATGCGAATGCCACGGTCGGCGCGAAGGAATCTGAACGCGTCGGCCCCATTGGGGCGGGGGCTGAGAATCCCACGGGTGAGGTGTTGCAGCAGTTCACGCGTGCTGCCGAGCAGGCGGCTGCGCCCACGTTCTCGAAGCCTCTCTCGAGGGCGCATGGTATCTGGCTGCCGTCGGGCGCCAGCCCGCAGGACCCCCGCCACAGGATTGACTGCGTCGTCGCGCCTCGAGCCTCTCTCTTGTCTGCGGGGCAGCAAGGGGTGGGTCCTGCAGTGGATTTGTCGGCGCGTCCAGATTATCCCAGTGATGTTATTGAGTCAATCCCAGCCGTTCGTGCCCGCCGCCAACTTGGCCAGGAGCCAGCGCGACCCGTCGCGATTTTCAGATTCCGTGCGTGCTGCTTGCTTTGTTCAGGTGGTCAAAGTCATTCCCCGGTCCGGTTTTGAGTGTCATCGAGATGGCCACGCCCAACAGCTAAGTAATAACTTACGTCGTGCTGTTGCGAACTGTTCCCCCCCCAGGAAGTCGCCGCTTGATCGTGGGCCCAAGCGGTCGTGGCTATATTAACATTCGCATGCGCTAAATGGGCCGACGGGCTCTGGGGCGTCGGGGCCTCCGATTCTCGCGCACTAGGCTCAACCAGGTACTCATGGCACGCGCGTTCGTGGCATGGGCATCGGATGGAAAGGAGGCGGAGGAATGGTTCAATTACGGGCGTTGCCCGTGGCAATGGTCTGAGCGTGAGTACCCCTCGCGCGCGCTCCGAGTCGACGCGCGCGATGCAGTGGCATTGCCAGGGCAGGCGGCGTTAGCAGCAGCCACCCACTGCTCGCGTTCATTTCGGCACGGCAGAGGCAAAGTGCACCCCCCACCCTTCGCGACTGACCATGTACGAGCGCTGTGAGATTTATGCAGCATGCCCAGCATACCCTAATATGCGTTGCAGTTGTTAGCTCCGGATTGCCCATTGGTCGGCCTATCTAGGGGTATGCTGCAGCTCCAGGGAGGCGCGTCCAGGTTTTGGCACTGGCGATGTTTTGTTTGTTGTGCCTGGGCTTTCTCGTATATTTTCTTCGGGCAGAACTCCACCAGTCTGGGCTTGCCCACTGCGGCGAAATCGCACACCTGCCCAGTGACTCTTGGGGCAGACGGCAGTCTGGGGAGGCCTTTGCGGCGCTCAGAAGATTCAGTGCTGGTTCACACAAGAAAATGGTCAACGAGGGTCTGCCCATCCTTAACGACGTGCATGGGTTGCCGTTTGCCTCGGCAGGTCAGGCTGCCAGGAGATGGCAACAGCCTTTCGGGGCACTCGAGCTGGCTGCAACGCTTGACGCGCAGGATCTGGATCGATTTCGGATACGCTTCGACAGCATTCCGCGCGGTAGCATGCCGTGTGATGTTGCGCCTTTCTCCTCGCCCCCCCCCTTCCCCGAGGCCCCGGCAATCTTGCAGGCAGGCTACGACGGCGGCGGCAGGATGTGACAGGCTCACGCGAGGACTAATCCATGAATTTGCTGCGGGGGTTGCTGAGCTATTATTCCTTGCAACTAAAGTGCGCAGTTGAGCTGGTGGAACCGCTGCAGTGGAAAAGGAGAGATGTCACAGGGACCTCCTAAAGTCATTCACTGCCGTTCCGAAACAATGCTCAACTTCGCGATCGATTCTCGCATTTCTTTCCTGTTCCCTCCGCAATCACTCAATATGAATACTGCCCCCCCTCTTCCCCTGGCGACGGCCTGGGAAAGCGCCCGCCCCCCCCCCCCCCCCGCGTATTTTTTTTACGCGCGGGCTTCCCCGGAGTCGGGTTTTCGTTTGCATTTTTTTCAAAATGCTGCTCTCGCTGAGGCGCCGGCATCATTTTCGGGCCCCGCTCGTTCCGAATCGTGCTCCCGCTGCAGCGCTGGCCTCATTTCCGTGCTTACGCTCGCTCCGAATCGTGCTCCCGCTGCCGCGCTGGCCCCCGCTGCATCGCTGGCGCCATTTCTCGTGCCATGCCACGGCATGCGCTGCAATGCTAGGTTGATACTACGCTTTGCGGTGCTCTTCTACGCCATGCCATGCCGTGCTCTACAATGCATCGCGTACCCATATTTGCCTTGCTCGGCGCCCGACTGAGCGAGAAGAGAGGGGATCTGCGCCATGGTAAGGGATGGGAAGGAGGGGTGGGATGTCAGATATGACGCGAGCGCACCTAGCTTGTCCCCCCCCCCCCCCTTCCCCCCTCCCCCTTACCCCCCCCCCCCTTGCGTCTCGCCCGCTCAGCGCAGTGTTTCGTGGTCCCATAGGGAGCTCCACCGAAGGCCCCAGTTGCACCGCCCGCATGCGTCACCTACACCCATTTCGGCGCACCCGTCGCACGCTTCGTGGCCTCATCGGGAGCCCCACCGAAGGCCCCAGTGGCACCGCCCGCATGCGTCATCCCCCATCCAGTACAGCGTTTCTCGGCTCCGTAGGGAGCTCCACCGAATGCCCCAGCACCGCCCGCATGCGCCACCCCCACTCAGCACAGCGCTTCGTGGCCCCATAGGGAGCTCACCGAAGGCCCGAGCGGCGCCGCCCGCATGCGTCATCCCCCGCCCAGTACGACGTTCCGCGGCATGCGTCACTCCCACCCAGTACAGCGCTTCGTGGCCCCATCGGAAGCTCCGGATAGCCCATTGGTCGGCCTATCTAGGGGTATGTTGCAGCTCCGAGGAGGCTTGTCCAGGATTTAGCAATGCGCTGTTTTTTTGTTTGGGTTTTCTCGTATATCTTTCTTCGGGCGGCTGCTTTCGTTATCCAGAAATCCACCAGTCTGGACTTGCCCACTGCGACGAAATCGCACACCTGCCTTGTGACTCTTGGAGCAGACGGCAGTCTGGGGGAGGCCTTTGCGGCGCTCAGAAGATTCAGTGTTGGTTCACGCAAGAAAAGGGTCAACGGGGGTCTTCCCATCCTTAACGACGTGCATGGGTGACCGTTTGCCTCGGCAGGTCAGGCTGCCAGGAGATGGCAACAGCCTTTCGGGGCACTCGAGCTGGCTGCAACGCTTGACGTGCAGGATCTGGATCGATTTCGAATACGCTTCGACAGCATTCTGTGCGGTAGCAGGTTGTTTGACGTTGCGCCTCTCTCCTCGATTGCCCCAGTCTCCGAGCCCAAGCAATCTTGCAGGCAGGCTACGACGGCGGCGGCAGGATGTGACAGGCTCACGCGAGGACTAGTCCATTCATTTGCTGCGGGGCGGGGGTTGCTGAGCTATTGTTCCTTGCAACTAAAGTGCGCAATTACGCTGGTGCAACCGCTGCAGTGGAAAAGGGGAAATGTTACAGGGACCTCCTAAAGTCCGCCACGGCCGTTCCGAAACAACGCTCAACTTCGCGATCGAGTCTCGTATTTTCTCTTCCTTCCTCCTCCCCCCCTCATCCCTCCCCCTTGCGCTTCACCTACCCAATGCAGCGTTTCGTGGCCCCGCGGGGAGCTCCACCGAAGGCCCCAGTTGCACCGCCCGCGTGCGTCACCTACACCCATTTCGGCGCACCCGTCGCACGCTTCGTGGCCTCATCGGGAACCCCACCGAAGGCCCCAGTGGCACCGCCCGCATGCGTCATCCCCCACCCAGTACAGCGTTTCTCGGCTCCGTAGGGAGCTCCACCGAATGCCCCAGCACCGCCCGCATGCGCCACCCCCACTCAGCACAGCGCTTCGTGGCCCCATAGGGAGCTCACCGAAGGCTCGAGCGGCGCCGCCCGCATGCGTCATCCCCCGCCCAGTACGACGTTCCGCGGCATGCGTCACTCCCACCCAGTACAGCGCTTCGTGGCCCCATCGGAAGCTCCGGATAGCCCATTGGTCGGCCTATCTAGGGGTATGTTGCAGCTCCGAGGAGGCTTGTCCAGGATTTAGCAATGCACTGTTTTTTTGTTTGGGTTTTCTCGTATATCTTTCTTCGGGCGGCTGCTTTCGTTATCCAGAAATCCACCAGTCTGGACTTGCCCACTGCGACGAAATCGCACACCTGCCTTGTGACTCTTGGAGCAGACGGCAGTCTGGGGGAGGCCTTTGCGGCGCTCAGAAGATTCAGTGTTGGTTCACGCAAGAAAAGGGTCAACGAGGGTCTTCCCATCCCTAACGACGTGCATGGGTTACCGTTTGCCTCGGCAGGTCAGGCTGCCAGGAGATGGCAACAGCCTTTCGGGGCACTCGAGCTGGCTGCAACGCTTGACGTGCAGGATCTGGATCGATTTCGAATACGCTTCGACAGCATTCTGTGCGGTAGCAGGTTGTTTGACGTTGCGCCTCTCTCCTCGATTGCCCCAGTCTCCGAGTCCAAGCAATCTTGCAGGCAGGCTACGACGGCGGCGGCAGGATGTGACAGGCTCACGCGAGGACTAGTCCATTCATTTGCTGCGGGGCGGGGGTTGCTGAGCTATTGTTCCTTGCAACTAAAGTGCGCAATTACGCTGGTGCAACCGCTGCAGTGGAAAAGGGGAAATGTTACAGGGACCTCCTAAAGTCCGCCACGGCCGTTCCGAAACAACGCTCAACTTCGCGATCGAGTCTCGTATTTTCTCTTCCTTCCTCCTCCCCCCCTCATCCTTCACCTACCCAATGCAGCGTTTCGTGGCCCCGCGGGGAGCTCCACCGAAGGCCCCTGTGGCACCGCCCGCATGCGTCACCTACACCAATTTCGGCGCACGCGTCTCACGTTTCGTAGCCTCATCGGGAGCCCCACCGAAGGCCCCAGTGGCACCGCCCGCATGCGTCATCCCCCACCCAGTGCAGCGTTTCTCGGCCCCGCGGGGAGCTCCACCGGATGCCCCAGAGGCACCGCCCGTATGCGTCACCCCCAGTCAATACAGCGCTTCGTGGCCCCATAGGGAGCTCACCGAAGGCTCCAGCGGCGCCGCCCGCATGCGTCATCCCCGCCCAGTACGACGCTTCGCGGCATGCGTCACCCCCACCCAGTATAGCGCTTCGTGGTCCCACTTGAAGCCCCATTGAAGGCCCCAGTGGCACCGCCCGCATGCGCCATCCCCCACCCAGTACAGCGGTTCGTGGCCCCATGGGGAGCTCCACTGGAGGCCCCAGCGGCACCGCCCGCATGCGTCACCCCCACCCAGCACAGCACTTCGTGATCACATTGGGAGCTCCACCGAAAGCCCCAGTGGCACCGCCCGCATGCGTCATCCCTCACCCGGTATAGCGCTTCGTGGCCATATAGGGAGCTCCACCGACCGCCACAGTGGCACCGCCCGCATGCGTCACCCTCACCCAGTACAGCGCTTCGTGGCTCACATATGGAGCCCCACCGAAGGCCCCAGCGGCACCGCTCGCGTGCGTCGCCCTCGCCCAGGACAGCGCTTCGTGGCCACACCGGGAGCTCCACCGAAAGCCTCAGTGGCACCGCCCGCATGCGTCACCCCCCACCCAGCACAGCGCGTCGTGGCCCCTTAGGGAGCTCCAACGCAGGCCCCAATGGCACCGCCCACATACGTCACCGCCACCCAGTACAGCGCTTCGTGGCCCCATAGGGAGCTCCACCGAAGGCCCCAGCGGCACCGCCCGCATGCGTCACACCCCACCCAGTTCAGCGCTTTTTGTCCCCATAGGGAGCTCCACCGAAGGTAGCAGCGGCACCGCCCGCATGCGCCATCCCTCACCCAGTACAGCGCTTCGTGGCCCCATCGGAAGCTCCACCGAATGCCCCAGTGGCACCGCCCGTATGCGTCACCCCCACTCAGTACAGCGGTTCGTGGCCCCATAGGGAGCTCCACCGAAGGCCCCAGTGGATGCATTCGCATGCGTCACTCCCGCCACAGTGCAGCGTTTCGTGGCCCCTTAGGAACTCCAGCGATGGCCCCAGTGGCACCGCCCGCCCGCGCTCCCCCCACCCAGCACGGCGCTTCGAGGCTTCACTGGGAACTGCATCGAAGACCCCGGCGGCTGTACTCGCATGCGTTTCCCCACCCCTTGCATTTTTAAGTTGCCCAGTAGGACTCTCCACCGAAGGCCCCACTGGCGGCCCCGCCCCACTGCAGCGCACCCCATCACACTTCCCCGTTGCGCGGTCCGCCTAAAACGCCAGTGGCAGCGCCTACATGGCAGCCCCGCCCCACATTGGCACACCCTTCGCATGCTTCGTGGCCCGCAGCGACGGTACTCACAATTGCATATGGCTGGGTTCTTCGCCATGATAATGTTTCCCAGGCCTGATGATAAGGTTTCGTCGGTGTGTGTGTGTGTGTGTGTGCTTGTGTGTGTGAGGTGGGGGGGAGGGGGTCGCCCAGTCTGTCTTGAAAACCAATGCTCGTCAAGATCCGCTGGAAGCGGGCATATTTGCCAGGGGGCGCTGGATGCGCGTTGGCAATCGTGCGGCCGACCTGACCGCCAAGCTCGGTGCGCGTGCCCATCCCGCGCTGTCTGAGGGAGATTTGCAGGCGCTCTCCCGAAAACCTCCGGTGTCTGACGCAGTGGGCGCTGACTGCAAACTCGCACTTGCTCCCAGCGTGGCCCCGATTCGACCTCGCTGGTTGCCTTTGGGTGTCCCCCCGCCGACACCGACACCAAGGACTTTCTTTTCCTCCTCCTCCGCCTCTCCTCCGAACTTTTTACATGTCTCGCATTGCATGAATCCAGACACCCCAGATCCTAGAGGCCATGGCCTCAGCCACCTGGTCTGCCCTAGGCCCGGACGCTGTCCGCAACGGTGGTCGCATCGCATCGCATCGCCGTGGCCAGTCAAGCTCCTTCGGGACCTCCTCGTGCGTGGGCCCGGATCGAGCGTTGTGGGCCCAGGGTTCTTCCTTTGACGCTGTCGGAGCTGATTGATTCTGCGGAAAGGGGGGGGGAGAGATCAATGTCCAGCTGGGGGCGTTGGTCCTGAGGCTTCCAAGCTAAACGGCCCCTTCCTTCGGGCACAGAGACATGGTGCAGTATCGTTTTTGGTTCCGGAGGTCTGTTTTTGTTGTTTGTACGGTGCTTGTAAAGTTTCATCCTATTTTCGAAGCTTAGCTAAGGAATTTCAAGCGCCCGCGACCAAGCAAATCTTGTTTTTTTTTGTTCAACGGTCTGCACCCAAGGAGGTCCGATCTCACGATTGAGTCGGTTCCGTGGCGCGAATCTTCGTACTTACAGTTCATGTCAACAGAATATGTATCATGTCTTCTCCTTGACGTCCCTGTTCCTTCTCCTTTCCTCTTCCTCTTCTTCTTCCACTTCCTCCTCCTCCTCCTCTTCGTTCTCTTTACCACCAGTTGCCACTATCGTTAGTTTTCTTTCTATCTCCGTCCTCCTACTTCTGGCGAGTAGGTCGCTGCGCGTTGTTAGAGCCAGCTAGGGAGATCGCGGGTTTCGCTGTGCGCCTCGTGCCTTGAGGGCAAAACAAGTGCCATAGCGCGCAGGGCAGTCGCGATGCCTCTCTTTCAACTCTGGTTGTGACTGGCCCTCCTGTGCAGGGAGCCGAATGCCCTCTTACATTCCTCCTCTTCCTCCCCCTTCTCGTCCCCTCCTTTCCGACGCGGGGAGTCATCCACAACCACCGCCTGGTGGAATCAGTATTCGTGGAGTTCGGCAGGCAGCGGATACGGACATACTCGGGCCCTGGTGGAGCCACATCTGTCCTCTATGGCCACCGCCTGTCGAGGTCCGCGAAGATTGATCCTCCAGGCGGTGGTTTTGGAGAAATTCCCGCCTCGCATCCTCCCCGTCCTCCCTGTTCCTCCCTTCCTCCTTGGTTCTATCTTTGGTTTTTTAATCTCCTCTGCCCCTGACCTTCTCCTCGGGCACTCGTGCTGTCTTGCGGGGGCGCTTATATTTCCGATGGGCCCCCGCTGCACGACCTCGGTGTTTTTGTTATGTTGCTTTGTTGATGGCATGGGTATCGTTTTGAAGAGACAGCGCCCCGCGTCATTCATTCACTCCTGCTCCCCATCCTCCCTCCCTCCTCCTCCCCCCCCTCCTCCCCGTCCTCCTTCTTGCGTTTCACCCACCCAGTACAGCGTTTCGTGGCCCCAAGGGAGCTCCACCGAAGGCACCACTGCCACCGCCCGCATGCGTCACCCACACCCATATCGGCACACCCCTCATACGTTTCGTGGCCCCATCCACCGACGGCCCCGGTGCCACCGCCCGCATGCGTCACCCACACCCATATCGGCACACTGCTCGCACGCTTCGTGGGCCCATAGGGAGCTCCACCGAAGGCCCTGGTGCCACCGCCCGCATGCGTCACCAACACCCATTTCGGCAACCCCCATCACACATTTCGTGGCCCCACAGGGAGCTCCACCGACGGCCCCTGTGCCACCGCCCGCATGCGTCACCAACACCCATTTCGGCAAACCCCTCCCACGTTTCGTGGCCCCACAGGGAGTTCCACCGAAGGCCCCAGTGCCACCGCCCGCATGCGTCACCAACACCTATTTCGGCAAACCTCTCACGCGTTTCGTGGCCCCATAGGGAGCTCCACGGAAGGCCACAGTGCCACCGCCCGTATGCGTCACCCACACCCATTTCGTATTTCGTCACACCCCTCACACGATTCGTGGCCCCATAGGGAGCTCCACCGAAGGCGCCACTGCCACCGCCCGCATGCGTCACTCACACCCATTTCGGCAAACCCCTCACACGTTTCGTAGCCCCATAGGGAGCTCCAACGCAGGCCCCAGTGTCACCGCCCGCATGCGTCACTCACGCCCATTTCGGCAAACCCCTCACGCGTTTCGTTGCCCCAAAGGGAGCTCCACCGAAGGCGCCAGTGGCTGCGCTCGCATGCGCCCACCACGCCCACTTCGGCAACCCCATCACACATTTCGTGGCCCCACAGGGAGCTCCACCGACGGCCCCAGTGGCTGCATTTGCATGCGCCCACCGCACCTATTTCGGCATACCGCTCACGCGTCTCGTGGCCCCAAAGGGAGCTCCACCGACGGCCCCAGTGGCTGCTTTCGCATGCGCCCACCGGACAAATTTTGGCACACCCATCACACGTTTCGTGGCCCTATATGGAGATCCTCCGAATGCTGTGCATACGACGGCGGTACTCACAATTGCATATGGGTGGGTCCTTCGCCAGGCTACTTTCGGGCAGTTATTCATTGAAGCTGAAACGCAACGTCGGGGGACCGACCGATGCACACAGACCGCACCCAGTACCCCCCGAAAAAAGGAGCACAATTGGTTGTGGCAAAAGCAGGGCCCTGCTTCGAGGGAAAAGGTCGGCATGTGGAGTCCAGGGTATATGCCCCCTGGGAGCTCCACAGACGTAATGAAATCGCAGATTTCCAACAGGAGGATAGACGCCGTTCCGATCGAAGCATTCGCGCGTGGGTCACAACCCGCCTTAAGAGGACCCAGCCGCCTCCGAGAGATATCTGCCGTGTTCCTTTGGCGACGTAGCCGTTGGAGATTCGTGACATTAGTGCAGTTGTAGGCTGCACATCGGTGGCAAAAACAAACATACGACCCCGCCATGCTTAAATGATAGCCGTAACCATCAGCGGCGGGGGAGCTCCTATTGGCAAGGCTAACCTTGGTACCAACACGTGTGCCATCTGCAGCGGTTCAGGCGCCGATCCCACATAATCAGGTGAGGACAGTTTCGGGGAGGGGCAGTTATTGATAGCGTGGGAGGGAGAGGGGTATCACTCGCTGGTCTCTGCGTACCCTTCGGTAGCATGGCCAACGCCAAACAAGCCCCATATCCCATGCACTTGCCCAAGAGAGTGGGAACTTCTCGGGAGCGGGTCAGCCTAGCAATGGCGGCCTCGTCGCGAGTATGCATGGCCGCGCCTTTCTTAGCGTAATCGTCAATGGTCATTGCTGGCATTCGTACACCACACCGCTCGTCTTGCTCAGACAAGTGGGAGACAATCTTGAGACACTATATGTTGCGATATCCCATCTCATCGGCAGCAGTATGAGTCCGAGTCCAACGGTCAATGCACAACCCAACCATCGGTAGAGGCTGACCCAGGTGGGGCGAAAGTACCTAAGACCCACTGTCAGTCGCCGTAATAATCCTACTGCCCTCCCTCTTCAAGCGCTGCGGCTAGTAAGAACGCAAGGAACGACGAGGCCTTCTGCCGCAGGAACTGCCTGATCCAGCCCAGGATAAGACCCATGTAGAATACTGAGCATTTCCAAACACGATCCACGGCGGCAGCCGCAAAACCGCAACGAATTGTCCAGGAATGTGGTTCATGGATGCCAGACCCATCTCCGAACGCAGGAGAGGAACGGACTTGACCTTGGCGTCCAGCTCGTGCCCCATACCAATTCGCCATCAAGCAACTGTGTTGGAACCACGCGCTCAGGATCACGTACGAACGCCGTGTACCAGACAGGGCCATCAGGGTGATTGGCACGAACCCTCGATATCCCAGGAGGCATACCCAAAGTCTGCCGATGCTGGAGAGTACCAAAGCAATCCAGAAACATATGAGACACCGCATGCGTTGGATCATCCGCTACATGACCAAATACAGCACACTGAAGCGGGAGATGCGAAGCTCCTGACATCATTGTTGTCAAACCAGTTTTAGGATTGGATCCCAAATTTGGCGACAGGTTGGCGAAGAGGGACCAGAGAGGGGACAAGACAGGTGGTCCGACCAGATGCTGTCGGAGATGGTGCTGGGGGGGCACCCTGTTTCCAAGTCCGTGCCTCAGCGTCCCGAGCGACGAATACAGATCGGGCCTCTGGGGTCCATCTCTGGCGTCTAGGACCAATCGTTCGGCGATTCGCGGCCCTCTTGGGCCGTCTTGGGAGCCTCTTGGGGCACTCTTGGCCTGGCCTGGAGACCGCCTGGGCGGGATGGCATTCTGACCCAGGACCCCCCGCCCCAGGATCCCACCCTTCAACCCCTTCTCGTGACCCTGTCGGCGTTTGGAAGACGCTGCTCTGTCAGACTCGTCGTCATCGTTGTCGAAATCTGCGTCTTCGTCGTCGTCGTTCTGTTTGGCTCGTCGTCGTCATCGTCGCCGTCGTCGCAGTCACCGGGTCCTTCCCCTCCAGCGCGCCAGCCACAGCGACGCCGAACCGAAACCTCAAGTGTGCCAGCCAGAGCGACAACAAACCGAACTTGAGCAACGTCGTAGTTGACTCGAAAAGGAAGCCCTTTTACCTTCGATATCTTCCCCCCTGGAGAGGTCGGCGGGTTCAGTCAGTAATCGCGAGGTGGTTGCGTTTGGTGTTCGGATACCTTGATTGCCCAAGAACTTCGTGGCGCGACTTGCAAGGAGTCCTCACCGAGTTCAGAGTTGCGAAAAAGCAGCCAGCACACACCATACAACGATGGACTACTGGCCGAGCTCACACGCCCTACAGTCGGGTCGCTGAAGAAGGAACCTTTTTCGTTGAGGAGGGGCTCCGCGTTCCTTAAGTGGTTCACAGCTTGCCTCATGCTTTCCTTATGTGTGCTCGATCGGAAATCTAAGTTTAACTCATGGAAAAAAGGGCCTCGTTCCTTATTTAGGGTTCCTTAGGTCAACGCCCCGATTGTAATGCGGCGAGCTCGGAGAAGCGGTCCGCGGCCACGCCGCTCCCGACTTCCAGCTAGCAGGGCAGGCCCTCGCCGAGGGACTCAGGGCCACGCCCCACGACCCAAGACGGACTGGGGCTACGCGCGGGTCGTAGGAGTTGCTACTTGGCATCGCTCGGACGTGTGCATTTTTCCTTCGACGAGGACCATCGAGGAGCATCCTTGATCACTTGGCGGAAAAACCACGCACGAAACCGAACAAAACACAGGGAATGGACGTCCGAGCGATGGCGAGGCGAAGTATTCTGGAGATCACAGCCGCGGGATAGCACACGATGCTGGCCAGAGCGCAAGCCAGCGGTATGATTCAAGGACTTCGCACACGAGCCACGCCTTCGGCAGCGCTGTTCCGAGCGCCGCTCGCTGTGCCACATCTCGAGGCATCGTTCTCGGTCAAGCATCAGGGGAACTTTCGCCTCGAGCTCGGCGGGGGGATATAATCACGCCCCCATTTGTAGACGAGCACCTGCAGTCGGGCACACGAGACATCATACATAACGTCCGTGTGCTCTTTCAGCGACAATCGCATGGACTCCGAAACTGCATTGGCCGACACATGTACACCAGACTTTGCGAAGTACCATGCCCAGGCATTCCTAAGCGAATCCTCCAAGCCCGGGGCGGATTCCAGTGCATCGTCGATGTCAGGATGGGCAGATGCCGATGTCCATTGACATTGCGCCAGTGGCAAATCTGGTCTGCTGCACACGGCCGCCTAGAACATGTAGCTCCACACGCTGGCGTACTTCGATCGGCTGTGCTGCAAACCTTGAGACCGTGGCTTCCCCTCTCCTCTCACAAGGAACTGCGAATTCGTCCGTAGCCATTTTGGCTCAAGTCCCACTTGGCCCATGTTCAGGGGCCAAAGGGGGCCTGAGCGCCGTCGCCTGTCTGGTTCAGCGGCGCAGTGGACAGCCACCTGCAGCCCACAACGAGGCAGAGGCTGCTCCGCTTTTGATTTTGTGCAACTAACAGCTCGCCCACCAGTTCTGTTGCCGCGATGGGGAAGTCGCGCACTGCAGAACGACATTCCCGCCGAGGTACTCGACGATCGGATGCTCGCTCACCCTACCCCTCGTCTACTTCCGCCTCTCGCACTCGCCGTTCCGCCAGCCGCTGTCCTGGCCGTGCTGAGGACCCCGACGAGATCTCGCTAACCCGCCAGCTTCGTGATGTGACATGAACACTCATCGATGCACCAGATGATGATGCAAAGCTCGCAGGCCATGAGCGGGACGAGTTACGGACCAATGTCCAGAACAGTTTCACCAGATGTTTGCAGTGTTGCTTGGTCAGGATGCCAAGAGGAGGCATGAGGATCTGCAGAGCCACGTAGCACGTGCATTCAAGGAGATGGGCACGAAGGTCGCCCAGCTCCATACATATGTGACATCGAACTCGCAGTCACCCTCGTCAGACATCCCCATGGACACGGACTCAGTCTCCGCAGCAACGCAATCTAAGTTTGGCAAGATCGAAGTCCCCCTTGGGGATCTTCATTCCCGCCAGATGTGTACAGAACGGCAGTGTGCCGAACTGCAGTCTTCCCCCACATCAGGCTCGACTTCACCAACAACTGCCAGAGCCACTCCTACACAAGACAGAGGGCAGCTGCAGGATCAAACGTGTAAATTGGTGTTTTTTGGGACTCCCGAGGAAGATGTTAGTCAAAGGTGTGCGTATGATTGGAGACCCATGTCGCATTACCCTCGCACCATGGACAACGGCAGATCGTGTGATCGTGCGGGCCTTCGACATGAGCAAAAAGGGCACGCTCCATTTCGAGACCCCATCGGCAGCAGGCTCATTCATGGCAACTTCCTGGCACGGAACAAAGTTTGGGAGTTTCCTGACCGCTGAGTCCGTCCATTTCTTTGTCGCTCAGGCTGTGGCGTGATATGAATTTGAATAGCCGGCAGCTCTTTTTATCTCTCGGCAAAGTCCGCATCACGGAGTTGGTCCGAGACAAACGACTCGAAGTCGGCTCGTCAGGTTTAGGAGGCAGCGTCTACATTCTTCGCGGCCCGCATGACCCTGTGCAGGTTGCAGCAGTTACGGTCGACAGCGAAGGGGCCATCGACTGTTGCCTGGACCGCGATGCCCTGCTCGAGTTTCACCTCTCACAACACGCAGCGCCACTTGAAGCAGCAGCGCAGGTGCAGCTCCAGCGGCCCTTTCGCCGCTGAAGAGGACTGCGCGCACAGAGCGTCTGTTCCGCCCCCCCCCCCCGCCCGCTTGCATTTTTTCACTGGTTGATTACTTTATTCCGAGCTCTCCTCTTACTATCTGCACGTGGAACTGCCGGGCGCTGATGGCTTCAGTTCGTACATCGAGTAGGGCGGCTTCTACGCGATATCACGCATTCATCAACCTTCTTCAAGAAACGCGACATTGCATGCACATAAGAGACACGCGGCCATATCGGCGACCTCGACGAGTTGGAGCGCGAGCCCCGAGGGCACAAGTTCGGCGCCTCCTTCCTCGACAGTTCCAGGGAAGGCGGTGACATCACCTCTATCTCTTCTAGGCTGGCCTCTCAGTTGATTGAAATACGGCATGAGGAGATTATCCAGGGGCGCGCCCTCGAAACGTTCCTTCAGGGCCCCCCGGGGGAAGTTGGTTATCTACAACGTTCACCTCCCGAACACATGCGACCCCATGCCGCTTTTCAAAGGTGTCCCGGCAGCACTCAGGAAAGACATGCGACTTCACCGCCCTGGTGGAGATGGGCAGCGTGCACATTGTCTGGTGCTCGGCGCTTCCAACTTTGTTATCGAAGACGAAGGGCGTCTTTGCGGCGCGGGGGCCCTGCTCGCTCGAGGCTTTTCGGCTTGCGTTGGCGGAGCTTTGCCGGGATCAGGACACTCGCCGTGGGACTCGGGGTGGCGCTGTTTCGTCCACTTCGCGAGCCGATCGGATCCACACCTCTCTTCCTTCTGGGCTTTTTCGGGGTCTCACTGCCCGCCGCATACTTCAGAGGCGCGCTTGCAATGATCACATCCCAGCCTCTACCTCTAGATCGCCCTTCTGCCCCACCTCAGACAACAAGCACATTCCTGATTGGATTACTCGGACTCCAGAATTTTATGAAGCATTGGATGCCCTCCTCGCTCAGATCCCTGTGGCCTGGGACCCTCGGCGCGAGCTCGAGTCTGTCAAATATTGTTTCTACGAGGCGTCCACTGCCGCGCGCCATGCCATTCGCTCTCGCAAGGCCAGTACTCTGCAGGGGCGTCGTTTTCACGCCCTCGTTGCCCTGCGCGCTGTTCGCCTCGGTCAGCCCCGCCGCCTGCAGCAGACAGTGGGCTGCCACCCGCGCCTGAGGGCGCATTTCAGCCAGGGCCTTGAGCAGCGCCGCAACATTGACGGCCTCTGCCAGCACGTGCGAGCTCTACATATCAAGATACTGGAGGGGGAGGAACTGGATATTCGGAGGTCCCAGGTGGAGGGGGAACAGAACAAACAAAGTCTCTACTCGCACGCAATGCCCGCCAGAAGGAGCTCTGGCTACGATTTGAACGACGAACGTACCTGGCTGGAATTTCTGATGGCGACGATAGAGACGATGGAGGCCTCCGCGGTGGCTCATGAGGCTTACTGGGAAGCATATTTCGTCAGCCTGAGGTGCGGTCCGACCTGTGGACCCACATAGAACCCCACATCCAACGTTTTGAGGGCCCTCTGGAGATTGATTGGCAGATCCCATCCATTCTATGGTATGACACCATTTTGCATAGACCCAACCGCATTCCAGGGCCCGACGGGATCCCATACTCGACTTGGCGCAACGGGCCGGCCGCACGTGTTCTATATGACGTGTACAGCCTGCTCTTCACTTCAGACATAGACTCGCTCCCTCGTTCCATGCTGGGGAGGCTGGTGGTGTTCCTACCCGAGGGCACGGACCCGCAGGATCCTGGGGACGGCACGGCACTCGTTCGGCACCCATCCTGCACGCGCCCTCTCAGCATGAGCAACACTGATATTAAGCCGTTAGCGAACGCGATGACGATTGCTTTAACCTCGAACCTCAGTCACCTAGTTGATCAGGACCAAGCTTGCTTGTGGGGACGGGATATGACTGCGCGCGCCATTCGGGCGGAGACCCGGGGCATTCGGCAACACATGTGCGCGCAACGGTAGGCCTCCATCTTCCTCACCGACTTCATTGCCGCCTTCCCTTCGCTCTTCTCCGGGTGGCTCCTCTATGTGTTGTCGTGCATGAACCTGCCTGCCGCCGTCGTGGACTTTTTTCGCATGATGCACCATGACAACACGGGGGTGATCATGCTCGCGGGGCAGAAATGGCACAATGGGCATCCAGTCAGGCGTAAAGCAGGGCTGTCTTGCATCCATGTTGTTGTATGGTGTTGCTGCTGGCCCTCTTCTCCGTTGGCTTCGTCACTCGTATTCCCCCACATATCTGTCAACCTTGCTTACGCAGACGACCTTATGTTTGGGCTGGTGAACGCCCTGCGCGATCTCGGCCCCGCGTTGCACGGCCCCCAGATGTTCGCTGACGTTGCGAACCTCAAGTTGAATTTTAAGATATGCCATATCATAGGTTGCGGGGGGTTGGTTCTGGGCATCATGAAAAAAGAAAGAGACGCTTGGCCAGTTTGGGGGCCCTGTTAACAAGCTCTTGGTGGACTCTTGGGCGATAGATCTGGGGATTCCTATTGGGCCAGGTGGGCATCTTCACGTTTGGGACACGGTCATTGTCAAATTTCGGAACAGGATTCGGTAAACGCGAGCTCTTGGGCTTGGTCTGACGCTGTCGGCCATGTCGTGTCGTGCCATGTGCGTCTCCCTTTCCCCAATACCGTCTCCAAATGTACCCCGCCTCCCAGGAACTGATACAATGCTTCAAAGAAGGCGCGCCCTCTGACGATTGGCCCACGACACGCTATCTCGTATGAGCTGGCCACTCAGCTGAGTGCGACCGGGCTTGGAATGGAGTTCCTTGGTATTCATGCGGTCGAGAAGGCCACGGGCGCCAGATTTGCCATCCGCTCGGCTGCTGCTTCCGAATCCCTTGCGCAACTCCAAGCAGATCGTGAAAACCTAGAACATGCCCCATTCCGTTGGCATCGTGGTTGGCATGCGAAGTCCATCGTCTCTCACCTTCGGACGCTGTCGGGTTGGTACCACTCCCCCCCTAACGACCTGGGCACCTCTGGGAAATCGTTCCAGACTAAGCTATATCGCCTCGCCCGGAAGCAGGACCAGATGGAGGATGCGAAAGGGATTTTAATCCGCCGTGCCCACAGCCTGTGCGCCGAGATTGACGCCCATATGATCTAGACGTTCTGTCATAATCTGCGCGAGGTAGCGGAATGCACCTCCATGTGCTTAGTCGTCGCTCCCCTCCGCCTCCTCACGAGCTCGATCAACACATCCTCTCGGTTCCACACGAGCCCTAGAGGCTGCCTCTTCGGTTGCATCGCGAATGATCCTCGGGACCTGGACGATGTTCACCATTACTATCGCTGCCCTATTTTGGAGAAGCTGATTCGTGATTGGATTGGGTTTCGAGCGGATCGTTCCAGTGAGCCCTATCGGCAGCCGTACTGGTTTTGTCTCCTTGTCCTCCTCTTCTCTGCACCGATCGATGTTTTGTTGCCGCGTGCTGCGTGTTGTGATGCTTTTCTGGCGGCATTGAACGCACGGCGCTGCAGTGCCCCAGGGACTCCCACACAGTGGTTTGAGGCTCGTTTGCGTGTCACGTCACGCCGACACCGCTCACTGTCAGATGCCTGGTCCGACCGCCCGCCCGCCATCGCGAGACGGCTCACGGTGAGCAGGCGGCTGAGGGTGGAATCTACAGAGTTCGCCGTGCCTCCTAGAGCCCCTGGGACTCCAAGAGGCCGCTGGTTTCCCCGCAGCGTTCCAAACGCTATGAACCTGAACCCGTCAACTGGGGAAGGTTGAGGAAAAAAGGAACTGCGAATTCGAGACGAAAAAAATCATGATTTGGACGGAACCATAAAACAATGTTGAAATCATGTTTTTCTCGCTCTCTCTCTCTCTCTATATATATATATATATCTTTCTGTCTATGCCCAAGGGCCGTAAAGGGGCATTGTCGCTGGAGGGAGGCGACAGGCCGCCCTCCCCCCGGAACCTCCAGGTGCCCACCTGCAGCCTGGAGCCAAACCACGCGCCACCAGGGGCAGCCTTCTTTTGCCCACCAAGCGCACCAACCCAGCCCCCCGACAGTAACACCCGCGCAATGGATGGGCAGCTGGTAGATCCAGATAGAGCATTCATCAGCCGTCCCTGGGGCAGCAGCGCAGTCGTCCTGATGCTCTTGCTCAGCCGGGAGCCCAGACCCACAGTGGCACCCTGCGGCAACCCAGGGCACATCGGGGACATCCTGGAGGCTGTCCTCGGCCTGTGCGTGCCCTTCAACAAGGCCCGGCTGCCTATCAGGGACAGGTTCGGGCAGGCGCGCCACCTCGCCGAGCTGGACTTCCGCCGGCTCCGCGGCCACATCATTCCGTCAGAGGTTCCCGTCAAGGCACCCCTTGGAACTATTCTCCCTGAACTTCCCAGTGGCGGACGCACTAGTGGTCTGCAACCACCTCACCGCTTCCGCCGACCTGTCCGCCTTCAGTGACGAACGAGCAACACACACCCATACCCATAGGGGGGTCGGAGAGGGCTATGGGTGCGTGTTGTCAGATGGGGGTCCCCGCTCGAACGGGAGCGTTCCCCAGGGTCCGACAACCCGCACCCATACCCATAGCCAGTCCTCCTCTCAACGACCCCCTTTTGGGTATGGGTGTGTGTTGCTCGTTCGTCACTCAGCAGTCATCGGTGCGCAGTCTGCGCACTCTCTGAGGACCTAGTTGGATCAGAGGTCGGGCTCCTCCCCGCTGCACCCACGGCGACGCAAATCCAGTGCATAGGCGGCGGGATATCCGGCAGCGGGAAGGACTTCCACGAACCCCCCGCACACAGGAACCCTGCCAGGCGCCACTCTGCAGGCATGGCGACAACTGGTTTCATGCAGCCGACAGGGTTCCCAACGTCTACTGCGACGAGTGCTAGCACGGCCCCTTTGACCCCCGCGAGTCCGGAGTCCGTCGGATCCTGTCAACCAGCCGCTTGGAATTTTACAAGCAAGGAGCCGACTGCGGGTGGCATTGCGCCACTTGTTTGAAGACCAACAGAAATCGCTGGACATCCCGTACCAGAAGGGAAGAAGCTATCTACCTTCCTCCAAGACCTTGAGCTTACCAGCCTGAACATATCCCTATCCCTATGCTGGGCACCTCCTCATCACGATGCCAATCTTAGGGATTCCCTTATTTTTTGAGGGCGCATCCCTAAGATTGTCATCGCCTTTTGGCGTGCCAATCTTAGGGATAGGGATACGTTCGAGGCTGGTAATGAGCCGTAGCAGCCCGTCCCCACGAACGCGACATTGCGTGGGCCCCTGCCCGCCGAACCGCTCGTCCTCGTCTTGGTCATGGTCTACGTTCTCTTCCCCTCAAGTCGGCCAATTCTCCGCGGCAGCTTGACACAGAGCAGGCGCTTGACTAAGTAAAGCAGTTGTCTGTCGTGTCGGCGCGGCAACAATCACGGCGCGGGCTGTCGAGTTTGAGCGTTGCAGGTGGCTGGGACCCGGCTGGCATCGAACGATCTGCGCGATCGGAAGCCGAGATCGTTCAAGGTTGAACGTACTTCGCGGCGTTAGAAACCAAGGCCGCAGTCGTCACGACACGAACATGCCTCAGATCAGGGGGCCCTCAAAAGGCGTCCTTTCATCTTGCGCTAAGCCACCAGTTTGCAGGGTTGTCGCTCGATGCGGCGAAACATGCCCGAGGCTCATCCCAGTGTCTAAGTTTGAGGGGCATCGTGAGTCTCACAGTCATTTCTGGGCCCCCTGAATAGGCCCCTACGTTGCGGGCATCGGGACACTTGGTTTTCAGATGGAGTGGATTTGTTCATGTACTCTTCGCTGAGAGTAACATCCAGGGGGGAATGAAGGCGAAGACGTAGCGCCGACCAGCAGCACTGGGTTCCAATTGGCGTGCGTGATAGCAACAGGTCTGTGCATACTCCGGGGCCGCCAAATCCCGCTTAATCCAGCTTATCTTGCTTAGTCCGAGCCCATTCCGGCGCAACAGCTGCCACATGGGGCTTCATCCTCCCTAGTGTTCCCGACGAAAGCCTCCCAGCAGTTGCCTCCTGAGATTCGCGAACCTCCCTTGTGGACGCCTCCCTCTTTGGGCGCCCCCGAAGAGCGAGGGCGTACAGTGCCGCTTTTAAGACATGCTCCGCGTGCGGATCTTGTATTGAAGATGCAGGTTTTTCGTATTAGTTCATGCATGAACTCATTCATGCATTAATCATGTATTAAAAATCCAATATTTTCAAAAATCCATGTATTGCGCTGGCCTTACGGCCTGTGCCGCCGACCCTGGAGGCATCGGCTCTCGAGGGAAACGGGGGGGAGAGGGCGGGGAGGAGGAGGAGACGGAGGAGTGAAGGAGGAGGGGGTTCACTCTGACCGAGGATCTCCAGGAGGGCGGCGTATCTGACCCAGGAACCCCCTTGCAAAATCCATGTATTTGAAACTGCCCTGTGTTGTGTTCTGGGAGGGGCCGAGGTGGTGGCGCCTCGCTGCGCCCGTCGGCCTGCGTCGTCCCGCCCCGCGTGACCAGCCTCTCTCGGCGTGCCGTGGCGTCCTGCGCAGGCTCGGGCACGCTCGGCACGGACCACGCCCAGGAGCTGCCTCCTCCTCCTCCTCCTCTCCTCCTCCTCCCCCTCCTCCTCCTCCTCCTCCTCCTCCTCCTCCTCCTCCTCCTCCCCCTCCTCCTCTCTCCTCCTCCCCCTCCTCCTCCTCCTCCTCCTCAGAGAACAAAATCATCGAAGACGGAAGCAACAAAAACAGCATCGTGAGTTGTAGAGACGGGCGCATCGTGAGCTGTGTAGAGAAGGAAACCTCGTGAGTTGCAGAGAGGAAAAGAAAAGCACCGAATAATAATAATAATAATACGAATAATAATAATACTAATCATGATAATAATAAATAATATTAATAATAATAATCATCATACTAATAATCACATGTCGTGAGTTGTAGTAGGCACAAACATCGAAGAAGAGACAGGTGCATCCGCGTAAACTTCCGGGGGCTCCGTAATGATTTCTGGGATTTGCGCCAGAAGGTCCCTGGCGGCGCCTCCGGCGCTGCCCCTAGAGCACTCCGCGGGCCAGGCAGGTGGGTTAGCGCAGATCAGAGTGATCCGCACGGACATCCAAACATTCATGCTTATGTTGTCGTCTTTCTAAAAACGCATGCGGTTGGCATGAATGGCATGGAGATTGATGTTTACACATCTTTGGATTATCCATGACCGTTGTACCGCTTGCCCTGGGCCCCAGAAGCCGTTTGATTCACAGCAGCCGTGGTAACAAATGCCAGTTCGAATTGTGTCATCAGACCCCCCGCTCGCCGAGCCACATTGCACAATTCTGCTCTATGTTGACAGTCCGGGGGCCTCCTTGGGCCATCTTGGAGCCTCTTGACAGATGAGCAAGAGGTAATGATCATGATGCGTTCCAAGGTTTCGAGGATTACTCCCAGAGTTCTTGATATCCTTCGCAAGCTGCAGAAACGAGGGCCACAAGATACTATAGAAATCCTGGAACTCATCCTGAGCGAATCGCAGCATGACCTCATCTCGTCCTATTTCGGGGACAGCCTGAGGCCATTCGAGCCACCTTTGGGCTTTGGGGGATGTTGGGCAACATTTAGCTACCCTGGGGCCTCTGGGCCCCATCTTGGGCGCATTCGGGTCATTCCTGCGACCCTTTCTGGGCCATCCTGGTTCATTCTGGCGGCATTTGGGCATTGCGCGGGGAGGGAGGGCGGGGAACAGCCGAGGAGGAGTTTTTGGATCGGGCCCAGGCGGCTTGAACCAGATGGATACGGCATGAGGCTTGAGCCTTCCCTGAGATCCGACGTGGCGAAGCAATCGCAGCACCGCGAAAAATCACCACCAGAGCCCTAGACCCGTCTGTATGCGGAATTCCTCTGGGCCGTCCACATGAGGCCCGAGAGGCGACGCACTGGCGATGCCGGCGTAGGAGAAAACCGATCTCCACATCGGACCCTTTGGGGAAGCTGTCCACCTCCGGGGGCCTCCGCGGCGAACAAATCGGAGAGCTGGATGTCTAGGACAAATTAGAGGCACCCCCAGTTGGGTCCGAGCCAATGGGGTCGGAGGATCGCGCCGCATCGCCGATGCATCGGCGATGCGACTCGATGTGGTGCGGGGCTTTCTCCACGCCGGCGGCGCCAGTGCATCGGCGATGCTGCGCAACCCTCCGACCTCATTTGCTCAGGCCCAACTGGGGGTGCCTCTAATTTGTCCTAGTGGGCTTTTTTATTCATTGTTTTGCCGATCGGCGCGGGCCCTCGCACCCCCCCTCCCCCCCCATGGAGTAGATCTTGGTTGTTTTTGGCGCCTGTTTCGAGCAGGTGGGGTCCCTCCCCCATAGGACGCACTGTCGCAAACAGTCGCACTAAGCAGAGGTCCGGAGGCAGACCCCCCCCTCCCCCCTTTTCCTCCCAATGTCGAAACGCCGAATAAAAAACGCTCACCTAGACATCAGTGCTCCGATTTGTTCGCCGCGAAGGCCCCCCGAGGTCTGGACAGCTTCCCCAAAGGGTCCGATGTGGAGATCGGTTTTCTCCTACGCCGGCATCGCCAGTGCATCGCATACGTCGCTGGTACATCGCCGATGCATTGACGATGCAGCTCGATCCTCCGACCCCATCTGGGGGTCCTATCGGAACAACTCCCACAGGGCTATTCTGTTCGTCCTGATTCCTGTCTTGGCGGCCCCAGGGCCTGGCGAGGCTACCCACAGGCCGACACCGGGCAAGCATTCATGGGAGCCCTGACCGGCGGCACCGAAGTGCGTGGGTTCTGCATCTGGACCGCATGGAGGCCGCATTTGGCCCTTCCTCCTGCTCCGCCTCGCCCTTCCTGTTCTCCCTTCCCCTCTTCGTTCTGTTCGTCTCCTCTGTGAAGGGGTGCCCCTGGTGCCAATCCGGTCCCACACGTGCTCCAGATCCGGTGCACGTCCCGCCCAGGTCGGACAGCGAAGTGGGCCGCGCAGGCTCCCATGGCCCATGGGGCGGACACCAAACCTCGGACTGTAGGGGTGACACAATTACTGAACACTCCCCCTCCCCCCCAAACTCCATGTTGGCACGCGCGGGGGAGACTGCGGTCGAAGTGCATCTCATCAGACCCGCCGCCAACTTTGAACATTGGGGGGAGGGGGAGGCGGTGACGGAGGAGTGTGGCACGAGTGTTCGCTGATTTGTTCCGAGGCCTGGATCTCTGGGGCGGCGACCTTGGGCTGCCGCAGGCCGCCCACGGCAGCGCCGCAGAACCGGAGGGTCGCGGCCTCGTTTTGCGCCGCTGCGCCTTCGATGTCGAGCGGAGGACAGCGCGCGCCCCTCCACCCCCCCCCGCCCCCGCGGCGTTGCGCCCTCGGGGGGGGGGGCTGCGGGAAGGGCCACTTCGAGGCCTCCCAGATGGGGTCCGGGCAGGCAGGGTCGAAAGATCGCGCCGCATCCCCGCTGCATCGGCGATGCGGCTCGATGTGGGGCCAGGCTTTCTCCACGCCGACGGCGCCCATGCAGCGCCGACGTCGCCGATGCATCGACGATGCATCGACGATGCATCGCCGATGCATCGACGATGCGGCACGATTCCGACCCCATACGCTCGAACCCCGACGGCTCAGGGTGAAACAGATGCTGTTCAGACCTTCGGAGGTCGATGCATCGCAAGACTTGGAGCGCCAGGTGTCTGGGGCCACTGGACGACGCCAGCCGCGGACCAGGCCACCTTGACCCAGCGCCGATCC